TTAAGACCAGTTAATAAACACTAAGGCCTGAGCTGGTCCTGGCTTTGGGGGAGCCTCTGGGGTTACAGCAATGAGCAAGAGAGACACATGGACCTTGTCCTAGTGAAGCTTACAGTCCAGCAAAGCCTGACATGGAAGACACAAGTTTGAGTGTTTAGGCATCCAGGCTGCTGAAGAAACATGTCATGGAGACCTTTTTTGTTAGGGGTTCAGGGAAGGTCACCTGGAGAAAGTGGCCTTTTAAAGTGGAGCCGTGAGTTAACTAGGCAGAGAAAACAGCACGTGTACAGAGCCTGGAAGAGAGCATGGTGTATGTGAGACATGCATGGCTGGTGTGGCTAGATTTGGGGCAGAGAGGCCAGAAGTGGCAACAGATCCCCCCTTGTGGGCCATACTTACTCATTCAACACATTTCTTTTTTTTTTTTCCTTTTTGTCTTTTTTCGTGTCCGGCAACGGACCGCAACCCTCAGTGTCGCGCCCGTACCAGACCGGGACCAGCACCGGCAATGGGATCGCAACCCTCGGCGCTGCGCCCGCCCCTCGCTCAGCCAGTGAGCGGGAACCGGTCTGTATGTGGGATCTGAACCCTCGGTGGGAGCGCCACCATGCTCCCAAGCGGCGCACTGGCCGGCGCACACATTTCTTGAGTGTTGAATATATGCCAGGCAGTTTTAGGTGTGGGGCTTACTGTAATGAACAAGAAGGTAGGGTGTCTTCTACTTGGGGAGATAATAAACAAGTAAACAAATACTTAAGGAAATGAAGGAGGAGGACTCTCTAGAGAGGGTGGTTGGAAAAGGGCTATCTATGATGTGACATTTGAGCTGAGGCCTGGAGGATGAGAAAACCAGGTATGTGTAGAGTTGGGGGAAGGGCCATTCTGGGCAGAGAGAAAAAGTGCAAAGGCCCTGTGGTAGACATGTTTGAGGAACAGAAGAGAAATCACTTGGTTGGATCATTAAGAGTGATTAGGAAGAGTAGGGTAAAAGAAGGTGAAGGAAGGGATGCGAGGACCAGGCCTTGTGTGACATGGTAAGACATGGGAAATAAGTACAGAAGTAATCAGATTTGGTTTTTTTAGGACAACTTTGGCTGTTGTGTGCAATATGGACTGTAGAGTGCAAGAGTGCAAATAGGAAGACCAGTTTTAGGAAGTCTTTGCAAAAGTTGAGCGATGGAAGTAGCCTTAGGAAAAATGGGAATGGAGAAGGGTAGACAGATTTGAGAGGTTTAGGAAGTGGAATGGAGACGTCTAAGTGATCGATTAAACATGGAGGTGAAAGAGGGCGAGGAGTCAAAGCTGACACCTTGGTTTCTAGATTGAATGACTAAACCATTGGTGATCATTTTGGGTCTTGAAGGTATGAAGTACCTACAAGATAGCCCAGAAGATACACAGGTGTCTACACAGGTCTGCAACTTGGAAGATACCACCTTTGGAATGGTTGCATATGGGTGACAATTGGAGGTTCAGGCAAGAGACATAAACACCCAGGATAGAATGAGGAGGAAAAGCTGACACCAGCAGAGTAGACCTAGAAGGCAAGAGACAGACAAGTGTCCACTAGATTTAATGATGAACATGTTGGTGACCTTAGAAAGTAGCCTCGAGGAAATGGTGAGTTGGAGGTGAGGAAACAGGGGACTATGATGGGCAACAAGCTTTTAGTTTGGCCAGGAATAGGAGAGGGGTGAGGGTTGAGGGAGAGCTCTTAGGCAGGGCCTGGGTCTTCATCCTTTCGCTATCCCAGGATCCCGGCCAAGGCCTGTGTAGAGAAGGCTGTCTCCTTAACCACAGAGAGCGAGTCATCTCAGCCCAGCCTGCTTCCCCTCAGAGGCCTGGGTGGAGTTAGGAAAGTCATCCCTAACCCTGGGTGGAGCTGAGGGCTCCACTCCCCAAGATGCACGATGAGGGCTTGCATACCCAGGGGGAACCCTTGACCCTAATAGGTCATCACCTCCATTTTCCCAAGGCAATGTGCTATGAGTGAAAATGCATTTGTTCTCCAGCTTCTCAAGAGACCTTAGTGGTTTGACAACCCAAGGTGAACAAACTCAATCGAAAGTGCAAGAACAGTAGCACAGAACAATGTGAAGGCAGGTTGCCTACGGAATTTTTAGGAAAGACAAAGATAGCTCAAGAAAGGGCAAACAAGCTGGCTTCGAGGATCTTTCTGTATCAAACCTGTTCAGTCATCCATGCCGCCCACCTTCCCTAATTCCAGTGACCAGACAGCAGTCAAACCTTAGTTTTTCACTTTATTTTACAAAAAAAAAAAAAAAAAAAAAAAAAAAAAAACTAAACAAAACTTCCACAGTTGGCCTTAAGCTTAGGCAGACACCTCTAAGCAACTCCCTCCCACCTCCCATGATACAAATTCAAGTTGTGGTGGTTGTTGAAACCTACAAAACACTCTTTAAATATTAGAAAAAAGGGGGGGTGGGTGGGCCGGGGGTCCTCCCACCCCAGCTATCCCGTCCCAGTGCCAAAATGCACCCAGAGTGACCTCTTACAGCACCGACAACCCCACCCCCACAGCCCTGTTTGTACTGTAAGAATTTTTTAAATTTTAAAACAGGGAAAAAAAAGCACCCCGCTCACAGTTGTTTTTAAATGAAAACACATTCCACTAAAACACAACAGTGCAGGGGCATTCAGACAAGGAAATGGGGTTCTTTGCAGGGGCTCTCAGGAAGAAATAGAACCTATAAACCCCTGTACCTAATTCCAGGATCAGGAAAAGGGGAGCGGGAGTGCCCCTCCTTAGGTCTCCCCACCCCCAGCACCACAGTCCAAGGCAAAGCAGAGATTGTTCCTGCCTTCCTTTGGGAGACAGAACCACTAGCCTCTCTGGGGCTAGGGCCCCTCACCTTTCCTGCCCCACCTCCTTGGTGGAGTTCCCACTCTTCCCCCATTGCTTGGCTTTCATTCAGAGAGGGAAGGTGGAAAAGCACAAAGCCCTGATCAAATAATAGGTCACTAACGATTGTTTTTTTAAAAAGAGAAACCCCCAAATTTAGTCAAAAACAAAAAAATTAAATCCACAGAGATAAGGTGGCTTGACTTAAGAGTCAAAAAATCAGGGTACCCAAAAGTTTGGGATGGCTGGGAAAGGTCAGAGGGACAGCTGCAAAAGCAGCTTTTGCAGACCTCTTCCCCAGCAATGGGGTTGGTTGGGGGTAGGGGGTAGGGCCAAGAGGGACAGACCTGAGAAATCAAAGGAAATGGGGGAAGCTGGAGGACATGAGGGAAGGCGGGAGGGATGTGGAGGTTAAAAGCTCCCAACACATTTCTCGAAGCCCAGGTTCTGGGCCTAGGGTGGCCAGGTTGATCCCTCAGATGAGCTGCAGAGGCCTTTTCCACCAAATAAAAGCTTTAAGGTTCACACCACCTTCCTGCTGATGACAGAGACCAGCAGCAGCCCAGCTGCGTATCACCCTGGCAGATGGAAACTGGTTGAGAGCATCCAAGTGGTTTCAGTACACTCCCCCAAATGGAATCAGAGACTAGGCAAAGCAGAGGATGGGAGAAAGGGGCAGCCTCAGCCTGTTGCCACCAGGGTCAACATCTCCCTGGCCCTCCCTTTTTCCAGATTCACAAAAACTGAGGTGGGCTCCAGGACGGATCCCCTTCTCTCTTCCACACACACTTGCACACATCCACAGATGCACCCATGCTACGTACAGGACACGGACGCACGCACACACGCACACACACACACACGCGTGCGTGCACCCATCTGACAGTCTCTCTTCCACACAAATCAAGACCACTTTTAAAAAGTCCCAAACCTACCCCCTAAACCCTCCCTCTCCCAGAAAGACAACAGAGACGGCAGCCGAGATCGGTAGGAAACGTCTCGTTGACAGCTCAGAGCTTAAAAAAAAAATATATACACATATAAAAAAAACCCTTCCCCCCCCCCCCCCATGAGTGGGTCCAGGCAGCTCCTTCCTGCAGGGGGCAGGGGAGAGGACCATTGGGGCAGTGCCTATGTGTCAAAGGCACCCGCCCTCCTCTCCCCACATTCCCTGCCTCCAGTTCCAATGCAGGCGTCCAGGCGGCAAGCCCCTCTGGGAAGAAAGAGGTCCTCTCCAAGCTTCCACCCCACCTTGGGGTGTGCAGGTGTGGAGGGCCTCACTGAACTCTTCGGGGCCCCCCACCCCACTCCCCGGTCCATTGTCCAGGCCGGAACTGCGAGTGCAGAAGAGGGGTAGGGTGGGCCAGGCTGGTCCAGTGCTGGCTCAGTCTGATGGTTGCTCTCCCTGGAGGACCCCCCAGGGCTGATGTCTCTGAGGCTGCAGAGTCCTGGCCTGGGCTCCTCCAGCCCCCTACCCCACTGTATTTTGTTTAAAAAAAAAGAAAGAAAGAAAGAAAGAAAGTGGGGGAGGCCAGGGAGCAAGGAACAGAACATGGGGGAGAAACGAAGGTGGTCAGTTGGGGAGGGGAGCTCCTGGGCTCTCCCTGGCTGCCCTGGGGTGGGGCTGAGCCTCAGTTGGAGTCAGAGTCTGAGGAATCCCCTGAAGAGGAGGAGCTGGAGCTGCTGCCCTCAGACTCATTGTCCTCGTCCTCGTCCTCATCCTCATCCTCATCGTCGTCCTCGTCATCCTCTTCATTCTGGGCGGGGACAGGGAGAAGAACGTGCAGTCACGGGTGGCCCTCCTTGCAGGACCCAGCCGCCCTCCCGTGTCCCATCTGCCCACCTCGTCCCCGTCCTCGCTCTCATCCTCGCTGCTGGACTCGGAGGAGTCCCCGCCGTCCTCGGAGGAGTCCCCATTCTCATCGTCCTCCTCTTCTTCATCCTCGTCGTCGTCGTCGTCGTCCTCTTCATCGTCCTCTTCAGACTCCTAGGAGGGGTGGAGACACACCCGTGGTCTCTGCCCAGCTCCTCCACAGACATGCACCCCCCGGCCGGGAGGGGCTTCTTACCGACTTGGACTGCAGGGTAGTCCGGCTGGACTTGGGGTTCGGGCCTCGCAGCTTGGTCATGCTCTTACGTTTCTGCAGGAGAGGATGGGGACACACAATGGGGGCGGCCACGAGTTTCAGACCACTGCCCGCCTCCAACTCTCCCTTTCCCACCACTGCCCGGTCCCCAGACTCACGTTGGAGATGTACTCTTTGTATGCTGCACGGTCCTGGGGAGACAGACTCTGGGAGAGACAGAGAAGGAGGTGAGGGCTGAACACCACCCAAACTACTGCTGACAGCACGCTGAGCAAGTGAGCATTTATACATCATTACCCCACCTTTACCTCTCACAGACTCCCCCATACTTTTGGGTCTCTGCAGAGCCCCTGGGATCTAAGAAGACAGCCTTGGTGTTTCTGCTTACAATGCCCTGAATCCTTCTCTAAGCCACCCTGTACTAAGACTCTTGGTTTTCATATCCCTCATGTTGCTCTATCCAAATGGAGCCTCCACAGTCAGGGCCTTCCTCAATTCAGAAGTGCCCCTATGGTGACTCATGTAGCCTGGCATCAACTCCACCCCAACAGCAACCCTGGAGCCACTGACGAGGCAGTGGGGCTCACTGAACTTCTGGAACACCTAATGCCCGCTATCTCCCTGGGTCCTTGGCAGACCTGCCAGGGTGGCTGGGGAGGACATAGGTGATTCTTCCCACTTTATAGATACGACCTCTCCACCAAGGTACAGAGGAGACGCTCAGAGGCAGGAAGATGAGCCAGAGTCTAGGAGCGGTCTCCTGGTCCCAGCTGGAGGGAGGAAAAGGCAGTCTGATTTGGGTTCTTCCATTTACTGTGTACTCAACCTCTCTAAACCTTGATTTCCTTATCTTTAAAAGGGTGATAGTAACTGTTGCCCTGAAGGATTGCTGGGGCACCGAATTCAGAAATCATGAGAACCAGCCAAGGGATGCCTCCTTCCTTCCAAGGGCCCCTGACCTGCTCACCTTGACCCACAGGTCCAGGTGCACCTTGTACTGCTTCTGCTGTTCTTCGGCCAGCTTTTTGTAGTGCTCCTTCTGGCTCTGGGAGATGCGCTGCCAGCGGCTGCCAATCTCCACCATGCGCTCCTTCAGCGGCAAGTGGTTAAGTTCCCCATTAGACAGCAGCTCCTGAGAGAAACTGCCAATCTCTACCATGCGCTCCTTCAGCGGCAAGTGGTTAAGTTCCCCATTAGACAGCAGCTCCTGAGAGAACTTCTGGTAACCGTTCCTGGGAGATGGGGATGGTACAGGGAGGGTCAGGATCCCAATAAAGCAGCCCTCCAGCCCTGACCCTCCCTCCCCCCAAGGCAGGCTCCAGGCCCCAGGCTCACATGGGAGGCTTCTTGGGTTCTCCCTGAAACTTCATCTTCTTCGAAGAGTTTGCGGCAGCCGGAGGGGCCCGCATCTCACTCAGCTCTCTCTGTGGGGAAACCTGGAAAGGTCACACTCATCCCCCCATCCCCACACCCTGGAATATTGCTGCCCCTTGCCCCATGCCATCAGTGCCTTAGCTGATTCTCCTTTGATGTGCTGGGAAAGAGGAGAAACTGAGGCACAGACAGGAAGCAACTTCCTAAGCACTCACGTTCTGGGTTAGGCAGTACAGTTTAAAAGAGCTCTCACATGTATACTCATGTTCCCCAACTAACCATCCTAGAGGCTGGTAGTCACCCCCATCTTACTGATGAGGAGAGACTGAGGCTCAGAGAAAAGAACAGACCTGCCCAGAGTTGCACGACTAAAGCTGGGACTCGTGGCTCAGAGTCCCACACAGTGAGGGGAGGTGCCCACCCAAAGGAGAGCTCTTGAGCTTTAAGTGGAGGGGGATGGCCCCAGCCCCCTTCCCACCTCATATCGCTTTTGGTCTTCGGCTGCCTTCTTAATCCACATCAGTTTCTCCTTCTTCTCCATGTTGTTCCAGGTCATCTCCATGGCTTTCATGGCCTTCACCCGGTCATTCTGAGGACACAATGGGGTATGAGCTGGGAGGGGTCACCCGGGGCTGGAGGATACAGAATAACCTGTCCCACTGCCTGCCACCTTGAAGCGGGCCAGGTAGTCGCCGATGACACTCTGTTGCCAGATCTCCTCGGCTCTCTTGGGCGACTCGGGCAGCTTGCCCCGTTCCTCACGCTCTCCGCCGGGCTTCCTCTCTGACTGGGCCTTCAGCGCGGCCTCCCGGGCCTTGTACTTGGCCTGCAAGGGACGGCACAGAGTGTCAGCCTTCCGGCTACCCCCAGGGGGCGCTCGCTCCCCGCCCAGCAGTTGCAGGCTCTCTGGGCTGCAAGGGCCGGGCGAGCAGCGGCGTGGGCTGGTGCAGATGTCTCCCGCCTGGGGCTCAGCCTCCGCCCACGGGCCTGCTCCCCAGGGAGCCGACGGCCCTCAGCTGACAGCTTCCCGCCTTCCGGCTCGCTGGGCTCCCAGCCCCACCATCTGGGCCCAGGCACACGTGGGGCCCGCACGGCAGGGGCGAGGCGGCGTGGCTACCCCTGGGGAGGAAGTGGCTGGCAGCCCCTCTGGGGGCACTGAAGCAGCAGCCTGACCTTCTTCTTCTCGGACAAGTCGTTCCACATGCGGGCCAGCAGGCGGGTCAGCTCGCTCTCAGAGAGCTCGGGCCGTTCCTCCTGCAGCTGCCGCCGCTTCTCCTCAGAAAAGATGAACATGGCCGACACGGGCCGCTTAGGCTTCTCTGAGCCGCCCTGTCGGGGCGTAGAGAGGGTCGGTATCCAGGGGGTGAACACCGGGAGCCCTGTCCTTCCCCAGCCTGCCGGCCTGGCCGTGCCCCTGCTCACCTTGCCCCCTTCCTGGGAGGGCTTCTTGGAGGCGGGGCTGGTGGCTTGCTTCTTGTTGATGCTCAGCATCTTTTCTTCCCCCAGGACCCGCTGCTGCTCCTCCTCCGGCAGGCTCTGGTCGGGGGAGAAGAGGAGCATGGGGTGCACGCCGGGTCCCCAGGCTGCATCCGGTCGCCTCCCCAGGTGGTCCTACGGCTGCACCCCGCCAAGCCCCAGTCCTCTCTCCCTCTGCCCCATCTGGAGGAACACTCACCTCGAGAAAACGGAGCAGTTCCACCTCGTAATCTTTCTTTTTCTGGGAAAGTGAGGGGTAAATCACGGTCAGTCTAAGGACAGCCTCGCCAGAGATCCTCTAGTCCTGGGAGGACAGTCTTCCTCAGCAAGGATCCAGAGCCTTCCACTCATGGTAGGCATGGGGCCTGAGCTGTCTGCCTTGACTGGCCCAGATGCTAAACATAGCACACCACCAAGGTGGGAAGCAGCCGTCCAAGGCACATGTGACCAATAACTGACCCTAGAATGGTCAGACCTCACGCTTCAATCCCCCCGGGTGAGGCCCAAAGATCTCCAGCCGTGGCCCCTGCCACAGCTCACCTGGTCACACTTCTTGTGATAGGCATCCTTTTCCTTTTGGGAGAGCAGCTTCCACTGCTGGCTGCACAGGACCATGCGCTCTGTGCTGGGCACATCCTTCATGTTGGCCATGAGCTCTGCACAGTACAGCGAGTAGCTGTTCCTATCAGAACGGGCAGGAAGAGAGGCGTAGCCCGTGAGCAAGCAGGGCGCAGGGCGCAGGCCTCCTCACGTGCAGAGCCTGGGCCGACGTCCTTCGCTGACCCCACTCCCTAGCTGCCTGCTTGCCCACTCGCCCACCCACCCCAGGGCAGTGCTCACGGAGGTGGCTTGGTGGGTCGCCCATCAAACTTGTCCTTGAGCTGGCGTTCAGCCTTGGTGAGGGTGGACTTGGTGATGCCCTCCTCACTGATGTTCAGCTCGGGGTGCTTCTGGATATAGTCACGCATAATCTCCTGCAGAGTGAGGTGAGGGGGACGGAGGGCAATGGGGTGTGGGGTTAGCCGGGGCAGGGGAAGGGGGAGAGCCGCTGGGGAGGGGAGGCAGGGAGCAAAGCCGGGGGGTGTCTGCCGTGTTGAATGAGACATGGTGCCCTGCCCTGCCCTAGCCTGAGATCTCATGGGGCACGGGGGTAGGGAAGGTAGGGGCAGAGGTGAGGGGCCCAGAAGGCCCCTCCCTCAATGGAGAGATGGGGAATGACTGCCTCCCGCAGAGTGCGGTGGCCACGGAGTCACAGGGCAGACGCTCGTGAAGAGCCGGACGGGGAGGAGCGCAGCGGAAGCCTAACCTCGTACTCCTTCCGCTGCTCCAGGGCCTTATGAATCCATTTCAGCCTCTTTTTGTCCGAGAGCTGAGACCACTGCTTCCCCAGGGAGTCCTTCACCTCCTTCGTAGTGGCCTGCAAACCAAAAGCCGTCAGACACACACAGGCAGCCAGGGACAGGGGGAAGGGGGAGGGGGGCACAGAGGCCCCCACCCCCTCAGGCCACAGGAGGTCACGTCAGTGTCCCCCGCAGGCCAGGAGGGGAAGGCTCAGAGGCGGGGGTCCCGCCTGGGTGTGAGGGGACAGGCTCTCACACACACGCACACACACGCTCGCACGCCAGCTGGCCCAGGCCCTGTCCATGCAGCCCACCCCTGGGAAGGGGCCTCCTCTCCTGCTCCCCTGCACCGTGCCCGGCCGACCTGGTGCGGCTCCCCCCTTGCCACTGCTGTGCACCCTCCACCCCCACCCCTTGGCCAGACACTCACATCTGGCCGTACTTTGAGATACACCTTCTTCTCATGGGTATACCACAGCTGCTGGGGGGTTTTGGGCTTCTCAGGGATGTCCGACTTCTTGGCATTCTGGATTAGGTCAGGGTGATCCTCCCTAGCCAGGGCATGGGGAGCAAGGATCAGCGGGGTACACTGCCAGGGTGGACCCAAGCTAGCTGCCCCACCCACCAAGCCTCCTAGACCTTTCAGCAGGGGCTTACAGGAACAGCAGCTGCCCGCTTGTCCCTGAGCAGGACACACTAGGGTCTTCGTGTGACCCATCCATCTCCATTTCTCACAGATGGCCAGCTCCAGGCTCTGGCCAGTGTTTGCCTATCTCGCCACACCCGGTGCCCCGAGGCCCTCCTCTGGGCTCCACTGCCTTACCTGAATCGGGCCAGATTTCGCTCGAACTCCTGTTTCTCCCTCTGGAAGTCCTGAATATATTTCATCTGGGGGAAGGAGGGGACGGGGTCATCCAGGACCCAAGGCCTATCTCACCCTGAGCTGCACGAGCTCCCCAGAGGCCTCCTGGCTAGATCTTTTGCTTCCCACTCTGTGACTTGGAAGAATTGAGGTCTGCACAAATGGAAAGGGGAAGGCGGCCTGCTCGCCAGCGGGCGGGGGCACTCACCACAGACAGACCTGTAGGCCCAACCAGACAATGGGAGCTATAGGTGTCTCCCAGACACCAAATCCTACATCCTATCCCCTCCTTTTAAGAGACAGAAAGAGTCCCAGAAGGGGGACATAGCATTACCCATAGTCACACGGTAGGCAGTGGCAGAGCTGGGACTCTCCCAGCTCCACTGCCACAGAACTCCCACAATGAGGAGTCAGGTGGAGGCCTTGTTCCTGTCGCTCCCTCTTCCTATTATTTGTGGCAGCTGATATCGTTTTGACCCCACTGAAGTTGCCCACAGAGCCAGGGGCAGGCTGAGTCCTGCTTCTAAGGCATGAGGGGACATTGTGTTAAGGGGAACCCAGAGTGAATTCTAACAATGTAATCACATCCTAATAGATACGTCTCCTGGATTTCTCTCTGCCCCCCACCCCTGCAATCCACTACCTCTGGGTCCTTCACATTCCTTCCTGATTCTGACACCATCCCCTCCTTCCTTAGCCATCATCACCCGATCCCTTCCTCCAAGCTCCTGGCTGGCCAGCCCTCAGCCCACTTACTCTCCTCTGCCACTGGCTTCCCTTCCCTTTACCTCCTCCTCTATCAGCCTTACCCTCTCTACCACCACCACCTGACTCCCTGCATCTCTCCTACCTCTCTGTATGCTCCCTCCTGTACTTTCTTTCCAATCTCTTTCCCTTCCTCAACTACCTCCTGTTCCGGCTCCCTCTCAGTGTCCCCTCTCTTTCTCCCTTTTTCCCAGGTTCACAAGAGTGGCACTGCAAGGCGCCATGGGCTCACAGTGATTGCTGAGGACCAACCCTTGACCCTCTCAGAAGAGGCAGCTCTACTTTTCCCTGTAGTTCCTGCAGAAAACCAGGAGCAAAGCCCAGCCTCCTCTGCCCCAATCTCAGTCCTCCTCAGACAAGACAGCAGTTTTTCAAGCTGGAAGGTACCACACAGATCTGGCTCACCCTCTACAACTCAGATAAAGACCAGGCCCAGAGAAGTGAAGTGACTTACCAAAGGCCCCATACACATCGATTCAGTGGTAGAGTAAGGAGAAGAGGCCCAAGTCTGTGTCCCCCAGGCCAGCATCTTGTCCACTCTGTTTCTCCTGTCCCCCCCTGGTTCTCAGACCCTTTGCCTCTCGGCCTCTCCCTCCCACCTGTGAGAGTGTTTGGGTGTTGTGTGTACAATCAACTGTCCAGCATCCTCATCACAGGGGTCACGAACAGCTCCAGCAATTCCTACTTATGCTTGGCTTGGGCAGCAGTCACAACAGCTGGCTTTACCCAACAAAGCTGGCTCTTCTTTTGGGTATGGCACCAAGGGCAAGTGAGTCCACAGCCAGGTTATGCAAACCAGGAAAAAGGGCTACTTACAGTGTGGTGGCCAATGCCACTTTTTGAGAGCTGCCTGTGTACAACTTTGTTTCCTCCCAGCAAATGTGCTTTTTTGTCTCTCCTACTACCCTTCACCAATACCTCTCCCTGGCTCCACCTTGCCCTCTAGCACCCCATTTTTGTGTCCATTTCTCTTCCCATCCCATCTCACTCATGTCCCATCTGTAGGGCTCCTCCAATGTTTTGCTACCTGTCTCTGCAAGGGACCTCCTGAGCTCTGTGTTTAATTTTGTCCATCCTTGCCTGGGAGGCTTTGACAACCTCTGCCCAAGGTTAACGTCCTTCAACGGTCTGGCATAGCGCCATACCTCTACAGGGGACAGCATGAGGCCAGGAGAGACAAGGTGTGTCCTTGGGTGAACATGGAGGAGGCCCATGTAACATGTGGGACATGGCATTGAAAAGGGCATTACACAGAGAGTCCAGGCCACTAAGTCCAAGACCTGCTCTAGCATCATCAGTTGTGTGACCTGGGACACTTAGCTCTCCTGTACCTCAGTTCCTTGCCCACAAAATCGGGATAACCCCTTTTCCTTGAGCTACCTTTATGAGGGACATCGTAAGCCTCATACAAGATCAAGACAGGAAATGTCACAGAGACTGAGGAACAGCTGCGCAGGCCTAGCCATGACGACGCATGTGTGGGAGAAGAGCTGTATGAAACAATGCTGGGGACTGTCTGATGGGTAAAGGTTGGTCCGAGGGCCCGCCTTGGTCTGGGTTTTGTCTGCAATGGTGCCTATGCCTGACCATGTGTGGGCCTGGGAGGGAGTGATCAGGTGTGGCTGCCCGAGACCCTACTCTGCTGTGCCAACTCACCTATGTCCCTGCTGCCAAGTCCCTCTAAGGCCTATGTCCCCACAACAGAACTATCCCACACCAGCTGCTCCCAACCTTTTCCCTCCCCTCCGCCTTCACCCCCCACCCCCCACCTTCTTCTTCTCTGGAAGCTCCTTGTATTTCTTGGACAGAATCTTGGTCAGGTCCAGGTTGCTCATCTCAGGGTGGAGTTTTGCATACTTGGCCCGCTTCTCCATGAAGAAGCGGAAATAAGGGGTAAGTGGCTTCTTTGGGAAATCTGGGTGTTTCTGGAAGGAGGGACAAGGACATGAGAGAGGTCAGACACCATCCGTTCTTTGGACCACCCCTCCCCTACTCCTCCTGCTCCTCCTCCTGGTTACTCACCTTAAGTTTTTTGCCTTTGTAAGGATTTTTAACATGTTCCTGAGCATCGAGGATCAATTCTGTCAACGTACGGAACTTCCTCACCTGGAAGAAGAGAGGTGGGTGAAAAGGGAAGTTGGGAAGAGGGAAAAACTACCCAGTAGCATACCACCACTTTCCAATGGGTCTCCTCTACTCCCCACTAGACCCAATTTATCAAAGAAGGAGAGCAGAGGCCAACACAATGCAGGCAGTGCTTGACACCCAGGCACTGGCCCATGCCTACTGCAGAGGCCCAGGCAGTCTGTACACACCAAAGGACAGCAACAAGGTGACTGCCCGACTGCAAAACGGTCCTCCATGCCAGCACCTCATTCAATTCCCTGAACAGCTCAGGCAACAGAAGCTCTGAGATGGTAAGCAGTCAAGCCCAACTAGCTAGAAAGTGGCAGAACTGAGAACTCTAGGCCAGTTCTGTCAACCGTGCCACCTCCCAAAATGTATAAGGGAGGTAGAGAGCTACCAGGCAACCATATGAACACCTCTCCTGGTCTCCTTCCTTCCTGTTTACAGACTGCTGTTTCATTTCCCCACCAGGAAGGTCGAGGTACGGGTATGTGTCGGTAGGTATGCACATATGTCAGCAAAGGGGGGATCAGTTACCTCGTTAGAAATCTCCACCCATTTTAGCTTGCACATGTCTCCAGAAAAGTCTTTAAATGCTACTTTTTCCCAGTCCATGTGTGACTCAGTGGTTTTGAACTTTGAGCTGTCATTGGATGGAAGGTTGTTCTTCATGCATTCCAGCAAAGTCAGCATGTCTTCCTGGGACCAGCGGTCTGGTGAGGGGTAAGAGAGGCCATCACGCCTGGCTCATGCTATCTCCCCAATCTGTTCCCCAACCCTTCCTCGCCAGAGCATCTCAGCCCAGTTGCTTCCTATCTAAAAGCACAAACAAGACATGGCTCAGCCCTAAGGAAACTGTGGCTGTACTGGATTAGGGCAGGGGCTCCAGTCCAGACAATGTCATACCTAAAAATCCAGTCTTCAATGTGGGCCTGCCTTACTTTAAAGCTATTATTATTTTCTAACATGCCAGGTTGCCATGGGTTTCTATTTACTGGGGGGGGTGGGGAGGGGAGTGATGATGAAGGTACAGTGATTTGGGGTCCTGTGGGAAAGCAGTTAGCTTATTGAACAGGGAGGGAAACAGAGAGACAAGGTATCTAAATGTGCTGCCAAGTTCAAGTCCAAGTTCTGGGTGAATACCTACACATGCAAGGACCGAGGATGGTGTATAGGCAGTAAGGAAAACCCATGCAGAAGTCTTTCCACTACAGCTGGAAACCAACATTAGGAACATGGGTATTCCATCCTCTCCTCTCCCTCCCAGCCCCTCAAGGCACAGCAAAAGAGAATTTCTGGCAAGTAAGGAAAATGGAACAAAAATGCAGGGACCATATAGGGCAGCACTGAGGCAGGCAGGTGGGCAAAGGCTCTCAGGGCCCTGCTCCAGGGAGAACCCTCAGAACTCTAAGTTGTCTTTTCAGCCCAACTCCCCAGGAAAGCAAAAACGGGATTTGGACCAGCTACTTTTAGCCATTAAAAGGCAGACCCAGAGAGCTGCAGACTCTCTGGAAGGGGCTGTCCTGGAAGGTGAGCTGGGAGAATAGCTACCCAAGGCCAGGAGTCAAAAGGGCTCTACGTTTTCATTTGCAACTGGTAACCTGGGCCAGGGTTTCTGCAGAGCAGATCACATGAACCCATAATCCTCTCTCCCTTCAATGTCCCACAAGCATTGCCAGATGCTCAGGTTCATCCTACTCCCCACCCCATACAGACTGGATCCCCACTGGATGATCCCCAGCAAGGCAGGGGTCTAGTCATGTATACCCCTTCCATGGCTTGGGGCCTCAAACCACCGAAACAACCCTTCTCACCACCTGCCTCTGCAAAAACCTTGTCCTCCTAATATCAATTAAAAACCTGAAAAGCCTTCCCAACACCCCTCCCACCGTCTTCCTCCACACTCCTCCTTCCCTCCCACCGAAACAACCCTTCTCACCACCTGCCTCTGCAAAAACCTTGTCCTCCTAATATCAAAAACCTGAAAAGCCTTCCCAACACCCCTCCCACCGTCTTCCTCCACACTCCTCCTTCCCTCCCATTGCAGGACACTGGCCAGGACACACTTCAGGCTGACTGGGAACCCCAGAAGGGAGGCTTACACAAGGCTCCTTCTCCCCCTCAAACTCGGGGGGAAGGGAGTGTGAAAAACACAGCTTATAGGCTGGAGGCCAAATATTTTGGATTTAGCCAAACCCCAAGTGTGAGGGATGCTTGACTCTCATACTCAAGACCTCCCCTGCCCAATTCAGAGAACGCAGACTGGAGAAACCCTTTAGAAGGAGCGTGAGCCCTGCAGAGAGCCATGTGGAAAAGAGGATTTAAGTTAAAGAGGGCTGGGAGTGGGGGCCCGTACCTTGGCCTTTGGGGGCGGCCATTTCCAGGTCTGTGGGGCAGTCGGCTTCTCCGTTCATCCTCCAGCTGTCCAGCCACCACCTCGGTCGTGCTGGCCGGGCAACCCGGGGTCAAAGCCACCTCACCCTTTAGAAGAAATACCAGTCTCCGCTCAGAAAGGCTGAGAGGTGAGGGACTTTCTATCCCTCCCGCCTCCCAGAACGGACGGGGCACAGGTCCACACACTCAGAAAGACCCAGACAAGATACTAATAGACTCGGTGAGCGTGGGGCGCGCTCCTCCTCTTCCCCCTAGCCCCCTCCCCCAGCC